CCATTATACAAAAGAAGTCCAAGCCTTAAAACTAGAATTAGTGATGCGGGGTTGTAGCAAACCGATGCCTAAAAGAATAATCACAGACACAGGCAGACTAATTTAGATAAATTGGACTCCACGCTTCCTTTTGCTTCCGATCCTTCTCCGCTGGGTTCATGATACTTCCTAGGGTTCATCTAGTCACCAGTTTTGGAGTTCAGGGCCTGATACTTCCTAGGGTTCATCTAGTCACCAGTTTTGGTAATAAGTTCTAATTCTAGGCCAAATTCAACCAAAGAAAATTGTCAACATTTAAATCGGCTTCCAAATTTGATGTAATGATAATCTTCTTTTTGCCTCTAAAATTTGCTGGAGGAACTCTTGCCAAATTGAAGAAAATTGAAATCGGCTCCCATTAACTTCCCCTCTAATTGCCTCTTGTTTGGTCCTTCATTCATAGCTCGTGTCCTTGTGTCGGTTTTTGTTGGGCTAATAATTAAGTGGGTGTGACTTGTGATGAGTAGAGCCCACAAGAATTGACCCAGGAGTTGACTCATTATATATCTTCCTGTTTTTTTAAAAACGGTGGGAGTGAGCTTGGCATATATTATTGCGCTTTTTGTGTTGGATGTGTATGCATACCTTGTTTATTTCTTCGGTTGGTTATGAGATTTTCTTTTTCCTTTCTTTATATTTATTTTTTTGCGAGAGCACTGTAGGATTCTGTACTTTCTTGAGCTGCATGCCATGCCAGCAGAGGCTGACAAGAGTACGTCCTCGTAGAGAGGACAGTGGGGTAAACAAACATTACTACGTACAAGCTAGCAGATGGAGATGGCCGGGGGGGCACGTGGTAGGTGGATCATGAATGAATGAAAAATGAATTGCTGGTCTCTTCAATTCAGTCTTCAATGACGATACTTTCTATCCTTATTAAATAACTTATCACATAGATAAAACGTTAATATAGCAACATAATTAATGAAGAAAGAGAGCAAAAATTATAGAAATGGTTTTCCTCATGAATAAATCAGGTCTTCTCTTGACCCAATGCACCAAGAAACCATGAAATCGCCATTGGAGAGAAACCACCAGTTTTAGAGACTCGTGCCGCACTTTCATTAGAGAAAGAAGATAGAGTTGGAGAGAGAAAGAAAAAATAATTATTACTCATAGAAACCATGAATTAAAAAGTAATACTTTTTTGATACGATATCCTATATTATATAAACTACTAGTTTTTTTTATTGGGACGATCTAATACTAATCTGTTGGACTGAACTTCAGCAGTCAGCTACCCCTACCAAACCCAGCAACGTAAATGTATACATATACATTACAGGTGACCAGCAGATTTAAGCTAGATGGCTGGATGGCTGGGGCTGGGCTGGATGGCTGGGACTGCCCTAATAATACCTCTGGCTTCGTTCGGCTGGCTGGATGGTTGGGGCTGGGCTGGTCAGTGCACTCACATCGGCACTGTTCACGTGAAACAGTGTTCGTAGATATAATGGTATTTTTCTTTTACAACAATCAACCGGAACAGTATTTTATTTTATTTTTCAGTCCCACCGAACACAGCGAATGATGGATTGAATATAAATAAATAAATCTGTTGGAGTTGGACGGAACTTCAGCGACAGAGAATTAGGTAGTAGCACATGGTTCAGTGTGACTGACAAAATAATACATCGGCCCGATGAGTTCACATTCAGACGCACAATCGCCATCCACATCCAGAGGCAATGATGGATTGCATTACAGTGCAAAAATCAGGAGATAGCACTTTTGAACATTAATCCATAGCTAGCGCGCGTCCCCACGCATGTAAATAAAGTACTATGTGAGCAAAATCCAAAAATTTTTGGATCAAAAGCTTACGCGTAGCCCATGGCATGTGACTGACAAAATAATGAGCAATGCCCGATGAGTTCACATTCAGACGCACAATCGCCATCCACATCCAGAGGCAATGATGGATTGCATTACATTGCAATGAAGCAGGAGTAGCAGTGGACATGAAGGCAAAAGCTAGCGCGCGTCCCCACGCATGTAAGTACAGTACTATGTGAGCATTGGGGTCTTGTTTAGATGTCATCCAAATTTTAAGTTTTGAAATCAACTCGCGCTCAGACGTCCTCTCGAAATTTTTACAAAAACGCCTCGTATTATTTCCAAATCAACGTCAAAAAATAACGGATTACTTTGGTTTGTTTGAAAAAAGACCTGAATCTTTATCGAAAATTGGTTCGCGCAATCCGGACAATATCTCACCGTTTTTTGCGAAAACATACTCGTATTTTTCTGAATAAAAAATTTACAAAAACTTTGATTATATATTTTGAAGACAAAAGCTAACGCGCGTCCCCACGCATGTAAGTACTATGTGAGCAATGGAGCATGAAGCATAAGCATATTATCTTTCCGCCCTTGCACATTCAATCAGACAAAGTAGAGATCCTCGCTCAAGTAGGATGCGATAATATGCAGATTAAACCTGCTAATACCTCTCCTCCGTTCCAAATTATAAGATGGTTTGACTTTTTTTAGATATATTATTTTTACTATACATCTACATCTATAGACATAATATATATCTAAATATATAGTAAAATCATGAATTAAAAAAATAAAATATCTTATAATTTAGAATGATTAAGTACAGTACACCCCAGAGCGAGGCCAGATGCATGCACCTTTATTCCATTCTCTAAATTGATTACTATTATACTCTCATATCTATAGCGACAAGAGCAGAAAATAAAGCCACCGTGACAAGGAAAGCTCCTCCTCCACCTCCTCCTCCTCCTCCGTACATAAAGAGAGAGATTGACATGAGGAACAAAAGAATACACGCGCGCGCGCACATGACACACATAAATATAATACTATTGCATCTGTTTCACAAAAATTGTAGTTCTAGATTTGTTGTATATAGGCCAAACATTTATACCGTTTACCATCGATTCTCACTACCACAAAAATTATTTTAGGAGATTGATCTTTTTATTTTCAAAGGAGGGCAAAAGTTATTCCTGTCTCTAAAATAAGCACCAATTTTTGAAGCCATACTTTTCATTCAAAGAGACAGGAAACTCACGACCGCCCCTGAAAATGAATTAATAGAGAGCAACCCGCCTAATCCGCATGAGCTCACTAGATAAGCCTAAATACCCTAGTGTGCTCTCTCTTCACTTCTTCAGACGCATCTCTCTCTCTCTCTCTCTCTCACCGGATCGAGCGGCGCAGGCAACCTATGGGCTTCCCGAGGGTCGGCTCTCGAAGGGCGGTGGCATGGATGGCCCGGGGGCTCACGTCTTCAATCCGGTCATGGCGCGTCCATGGTGAGCTGCTCTCTCCCCCGTCATTATTTCCTCTCCCTCTCCCTCGTTCTAATATATCTCCCTACCTTACCATTCAAGCGCAGGAGAGGGTGAAGCCCCCAGCTCTATGAGCTGACACTCATGGTGGCGACTTCGAGTGATGCTGAATCGCCTCACACGGGCGACAGTATGCGCTTGCCTTGGCCGCCGACAGAAACCATCCTATAGTTTATGAGTTAGGATGCTAGAAGCTAAGAACCTCGAAATAAAAGGACTAGCCCTAAATGTGAGGACTCGCTCCGAGCATAAGCCAAGAATCTCGAAAGAAAAGGATCGGCCCTAAGTTAGGAGATAGAAACCTATAAGAAAAGGACTGGTCCGAACTTGTGTTAGAGTAATTAATTGTAAGAACTTGTGTTAAATTGATGGCTTAAACTCATCCGAGCAAGGTTGAGGATATTCTAACCAATTGAGCTAGGCTCACTTCGCATACCTAGGCTTAATCTGGACCGGATTATGTTAGATGTTTTTTTTTTTGTTTTGGTTTTGCTGCGATGGTATCAGATCGATGGTTATAGAGGAGTACTCGTATCCTATCTCGCAAGTTGTTGATTTTTACTACATAGTACCACCACGGGTGGGTCGTACTCATACATTTTGTAGTAGAATATAAGTATATTAATAACATATGCACTAGAATAATCGTGGACTGGGGACAAGACTTGTGGCTTGACTTGACTTGACCTTTTGCTTCACCTTTTTTTCGCTAAAACCAAAAAAAAGTAACAAATGATGTTTTTCTCTTAAAAACCAAAGACCAACCAACCCAAAGCGAAACAAAGTGTTGTGCGAGGAGCCTCCCTTTTTTTATGAAAACAAAATATATATATATATATATATATATACACATATATATATATATATATATATATATATATATATATATATACACACACTCTCTGACCCTATGACCTGTGTGGTGTGAATGAGGAGCGAGAGTGTGAGACGATGAGAATCCGATTCCAAGCCGGTAGAAAAGACTTGGTGGAGAGAGGCCTACCATACCATGCAGTATGGTTTCTTTTTTTCCCTTTCTTTGGCTGATAGGTAGGCATTGGGACTCCAGACAAGGCCTCATCAAGTCTCAAGCACAGCAGCAGCCGCCTTCCGCTGGTCAGTCAGCTCGAAAGGGACTCGAAAGGGCATATGACTCGTACTGTTCGCTAGATTTATAAGCAGTATTTTTTCTATTAATAAATAGTAATTTTCTTTTATAATAAATCAATCTAACATTACCTCGGCCAAAGCGATCAGGGCATATGGAATCCATTCCCATCCCCGGACAGCCCAGGCCTGACCCCTCTTCTTTCTTGTTTTGGAGCCTCTCCAGCTTTCTTTCTTGCTGGATTCTTCCTTTCCCTCCTCTTCTTCTTCATTCACTGGTGGTGCCGGCCTGCCGGGCATTCCACCCAAGTTTTCTTTTATCCCGTCGCCGTCGGTGCTCGCTTGTTCCTTCCTTTCTTTCTTCCCCCAAAATCGTATCTTTCTGTCTCCGCCCGCCGTTGCCATGTCCGGACCGGAGTCAGGGGCCGGCTGAGGTGACAGCCATAAGCCCTCATCACCATCACCGTCACCATCACCTGCTGCTTCTTGGCTTGGGCTTGAGCCTCGACCAGAGCAGGGGAGGGGAAGGAGATGGCGTCGTCCTGGTCCTCCTCCTCCAGCTCCAGCTCCAGCACTCTCCTCCTCCTCCTCCGGTTGCTCTGCCTCTGCGCCGCCCTGCCAGCCACCCTGCAGGCGGCGGCGCGCCCGCCCAGCGTCACCATCGGCGCGCTCTTCACCTTCGACTCCGTCATCGGAAGGTCCGCCAGGACCGCCATCCAGCTCGCCGTCGACGACGTCAACGGCGACCCCACCGTGCTGAGGGGCACCAACCTCAGCGTCATCTTCCAGGACACCAAGTGCAGCGGATTCGTCGGCACAATCCAAGGTAGGTACAATCCTACTCTGCTTTTGCTCTGTTTTCTTCCTTTCTTTCGTGGGGATTGGGGTTTCCATTCCATCCTTGGTGAGATTGCCATGAATCATGCTGTGATGTGATATGCCTCCTCCGTTTTGGGTGGTTGCCCCGTCATTACGCATCATCAGCAGCACCAAATCATCATGTCATGTGGGGCTTAATTTGTGGGTGCAGCCAACATCTCCCCTTTCCTTCATTCACTTTTTGGTCCTGCATGCACCGGCACCGGATTCCATTCCTTGCTTGCCTGCCCTGCATTCTCTCAACTTTGATTTCTGCATTGCATTAAGAAGCATAGTACCTCAGTCCTTTCTTTCTTCCTTTCTTTCTTTCTTTTGTAAGTACTCCATTCCTCTTTTCAAACTGCATGGGACTGGGTTATGCATTCCAGATTCCACACCTTCACATTCAGAGTTTATTTCTTTCTATTAAAGTTTTCACATTCAGAGTTTCATCAGGCACATACCAGTAACTAGGGAGGGAGGGGCACTCTTCTAGTCTAGTCAAGTCTGGTTTATAACAACAAACTAAGCTAGGCTAGGCTCCATCCTCCATTACGTTCTTTCAAACAAACCATGCTAGCAGCTTGCATATATTCGTTGAATAAACAACAAACATGATTACTAATTTACTATACTAGCTGAATCAACCAAGCTTGGTTTTGTAATAATTGTGCGCGTGTCAGTTAAACTAATCACCAGATGAGATGAGTCAGCCAGCCTACGCAAATCCAATCCCACTGCTTCATTGATTGTTAAAAGTCAACTGCGATGCCACTGACGACTCAACCCCCCTCGATCCGACCTGATGCACAGCCTTGGAGCTGATGGAGAGGCAGGTGGTGGCCGTGGTGGGCCCGCAGTCCTCGGGCATCGCGCACGTCGTCTCCCACGTGGCCAACCAGCTGCGCGTGCCGCTGCTCTCCTTCGCCGCCACCGACCCGGCGCTCGCCTCCAAACAGTACCCCTACTTCGTCCGCGCCACGCACGACGACCGCTTCCAGATGGCCGCCGTCGCCGACGTCGTCGCGCACCACGGGTGGCGCGAGGTCACGGCCGTCTACGTCGACAACGACTACGGCCGCGGCGGCGTCGTAGCGCTCGGCGACGCGCTCGAGGCCCTGCGTGCCAGGGTGTCCTACAAGGCCGCGTTCCCGCCGGGCGCCGACCGCGCCGCGATCGCCGACCTCCTCGTGCGCGCCAACATGATGGAGTCGCGCGTCTTCGTCGTCCACGCCAGCCCGGACTCGGGCCTCGACGTCTTCGCCGCCGCGAGGTCGCTCGACATGATGGCCACCGGGTACGTCTGGATCGCCACCGACTGGCTCGCCGCCGCCGCCATCGATGCTGCTGGTGCTGGTGCCGCCTCCAAGTCCAATATACAGGGCGTCCTCACGCTGCGCCAGTACACCCCGGACTCGGACGCCAAGGCGTCGCTCGTCTCCAGGTTCGCCGCCGCGGCCAAACCGTCCAGCAATGGCATCAACGTGTACGGCCTCTTCGCGTACGACTCAGTCTGGATGGCGGCGCGCGCCATCGACCAGTTCCTCAGCGACACCAGCGGTGGCAACATCTCCTTCTCCGCGGACGCCAACATCCGCGACGCCAACGGCAGCGCACTGGGCCTCAGCGCGCTCAAGGTGTTCGACCAGGGTGAGCAGCTGCTGCGGAAGGTCATGCTCGCCAACTTCACCAGCGCCACGGGCAGCGTGCGGTTTCAGTACGACGCCGATGGGAGTGGGACCCTCATCAACCCGGCCTACGAGATCCTCAACGTCGGCGGCACGGGCGTCCGCCGGGTCGCCTACTGGTCCAACTACACGCGCCTGTCGGTGGCGGCGCCCAGGCTGCTCGCCGACGGCGGGCCGCCGCCCAACTCAAGCACGACGACCCAGCAGCAGCAGCAGATGTACAGCGTCATCTGGCCCGGTGACACCACATCTAAGCCGCGCGGGTGGGTGTTCCCCAACAACGGGAAGCCGCTGCGGATCGGCGTGCCGTACCGGACGACGTACAAGCAGTTCGTGTCCAAGGACCGGTCCAGCCCCGACGGCGTGAGCGGCTACTGCGTGGACGTGTTCAATGCGGCGGTGGCGCTGCTCCCGTACCCGGTGCCGGCGTCGTTCGTCCTGTTCGGTGACGGCGTGAAGAACCCCAGCTACAACGAGCTGGTGCAGAAGGTGGCGGACGGCTTCTTCGACGCGGCGGTGGGCGACATCTCCATCGTGACGAACCGGACGCGGGTGGTGGACTTCACGCAGCCGTACGTGGAGTCCGGGCTGGTGATCGTGTCCACGGTGAAGGCCAAGAGCTCCAACGAGTGGGCCTTCCTCAGGCCATTCACGCCGGGGATGTGGGCCATCATCGGTGCCTTCTTCCTCTCCGTCGGCGCCGTTGTGTGGATCCTGGAGCACCGGTTCAACCCGGAGTTCCGAGGGTCGCCCAGGAAGCAGATGGTCACCATGTTCTGGTTCAGCTTCTCCACGATGTTCTTCGCGCACAGTGAGTAGCTAGAGTACAATGTTGTTGGATTATTGTTCATTCAGTTCGATCGATTCATCTGACTCTGAAATCTGAAATCCTCTGTATTCTAATGGGAAATGCAGGAGAGAACACCGTGAGCACTCTTGGCCGCTTCGTGCTCATCATCTGGCTTTTCGTGGTGCTCATCATCAACTCCAGCTACACGGCCAGCCTGACGTCCATCCTGACGGTGCAGCAGCTGTTCACGGGCATCCAGGGCCTGGACAGCCTCCTCTCCAGCAACGACCCCATCGGCTACCAGGTCGGCTCCTTCGCCCGGAGCTACATGATGGAGGAGCTGGGCGTCCCGGCGTCGCGCCTCCGGGAGCTGGCCATCGACGACTACGCCGACAGTCTGCAGCGCGGGCCCAGCAACGGCGGCGTGGCGGCCATCGTCGACGAGCTGCCCTACATCGAGCTCTTCCTGTCCACCAACTGCCAGTTCAGGACGGTGGGCCAGGAGTTCACCAAGAGCGGATGGGGATTCGTGAGTCAATGCCCTTTTGGCCTTTATTTAATTCTTTGTCCAATCCAAATTAACCAACTGACGACGATGATGATTTACATTACAGGCGTTCCAGCGTGACTCCCCCCTTGCGGTGGACCTGTCGACGGCCATCCTGACACTGTCGGAGAACGGGGACCTGCAGCGGATCCACGACAAGTGGCTCAACCCAGGGACGTGTGCGTCGCAGAGCACCGACGGCGTGGGCACTGACAGGCTCAATCTGGGCAGCTTCTGGGGCCTCTTCCTCATCTGCGGCGTCGCCTGCTTCGTCGCCCTGCTCATCTACTTCGCCAGGATACTCTGCCAGTTCTGCGAATACCACGGCCACGGAACCACCGCCGGCGCCGCCCAAGAGGACGATGGCGCCGGCCCGTTCCCTGACCCGCAGAGGAGCCTGCGCCGGCCCGCCAGGCTAACCAGCATCCGGGACCTCATGTCCTTCGTGGACATGAAGGAGGCCGAGGTGAAGACGGCCATCCGGAGCAGGTCCGACAGGCGGCTCGACGGGTCTATGGGCGGCAGGAGCTACACCTCTGAAGGCCCGTCCTTGTCACGGCCGTCCTCCATGTCGCCGGTGTAATACGGGGCGGCGGCGTTCTTCTCCAAAGACACGATTTTTGTCTGTGCTCTGACTTTTAGGTAGCTGGAGTCGGCGATCTGAAATTGACGAAACTGTACGTTTGTACAAATTGCAATTCAGCGATTATATATTATATATATATACGGTTTTTCAACACCTGAAGATAGAATCTGTAGGTGCTAGATGCAACGTAGCTGTAGAATTACAGGGTATTATGTACAAAAACTTCAAACTTGTGTGGACAGCTGAAGGTGAAATGAGGAATTTTTGCTATTCATATATTATGACACGTTCTAGATGGAATCTGTCTTACACCTGTTTTTTTAGTGTGCAGTAGCTGCACAGCTCTGGTGTGTGCTCTGTGAAATTCTTAAAGTTCACTTGGGTGGTTCTTTTGAATCCAATGGCCAGTTTTGGCTCTTTGGACATTATGGAAGCTATGAAATGACCTTTGTTTTCAGAACGTTGGCTGGAAAGGGATGGATATCCTGCTGAACAAAATTGCCTATACGGTGCAGAATTGGCTAATCCTGTGCCCGGAGAACAAGAAGGATTCTTTTTCAAGAATAGTGTTGGAGATCAAGAGGAAAGGGAGAAGCTGCAAGTGGTGGACCGAATGCAGAATTTCCTCAAGATGAAGCCGGAGCTGGTTACTTCTTCTGATGCTTTGCAAGTCTGGAGCTCCTGCAGACTGGCGTGAGTCCCAGTGCTGCTGATCTTGTAATGCATGGGTACTGCCGGCGTCTGGAACCTTTTGTTTGCTTCCTTTGCCGCTGGTGATTCAGTGGCCAGCGCTGTTAAGTTTTTGAGTTTTTTTGAGGCGTCTCTTTTCACTAGAGTCTTTAGTTATCTTGGTTTAGGGCTGGTCCTTTGGTCTCTGGCGTTTGATGGATTAACGCTCTGCGCTGTAATGAATATTGCTGTCTTTTAAAAAAATCTATATCTATGCTCGAGGAAAAATTTCTCTCCACCTATTTTTTGTCTGGCCATCATTAACTAACTTTGTGAATATAGAAAAACCCATATAGCCCTACTCTTTATATAACTAGGAGTCCTAAATCCAATTAGATCTCTCCGATTTCGGGAGAATATGAATCTTAATCCAAATAGGAAAAATATAATAATATAGACAACTAGAAATCTTAATCTAATTAGATCTCTCCGACTCCGGGTAACCGGAATACGAATCTTATCCCAAATGCAAAAATAAAAGAATAGAAATCTAATAATAAGAAAAGAATGGTAGAATTTCTTTATTTCGTTTCTTTTATGTTCTTTTTTCACTCTTTCTGGTTTATCCGTTTTTACTTTGCTCCGAGTACGTGTTGCTTTACGTTCATTTGGACGCTTTTCACTTGGCTCCGAATATGTTCCGATTTTTTCCGTGGCTATTTTCTAGTGTGCATTTCAATTTTTGTCATGATTGTTTTTCTACTTGGCTTCGAGTATGCTCAGATTTTTTTCTCGTGGATGTTTTTGACACTAGCTAGACTTTTCTGATTTTGTTTTCATTGTTTTCTCCACCTGGTTTTTTCGTGTTCTAATAAATACAATAAGAGTAAAAACAAACAATAAATAAGATATCACAATCATTCTAATATTTGACTCCTTAAGAAACAAAGATTTTTATCACTAAGTTAATTTATTTTTTCACTCGAACTCATGACCCGTGCTACAATTCACTACGTATTGGATCCCGTTGCAACGTGCGGGCATGTTTGCTAGTAAAAATAAAAAGAGACTTGTGATGCACTTGATACATTCTTGCAAAATTCTTTATCCCTGTAATATAGTTTCTTAATTAAACCAAATAGTTTATACAACATACTAGAACCAACCAATCATTTACGCCAAACCTTGTCTTGAAAACTTAATTTTTTTTTCTTCTTCTCAAGCAAATTCTAACACTCGTGGAGCTACAAATTAAATAAATTGTAGCGGCAACTTGTGTTGGAGTAATTAATTGTACTGCACATGTTAGATGGATTTAATTTCCCTGGGATCATGCGAAAGGAAGCAGAAACAAACCTAGTAATAAGCTTTATTAGCTGGATGGTTACAGAGGAGAGTATCTTGCAAGGCTATGATTTCTACTACATACAAACATACATACTCATACATACCGTAGTAGAATATACATAGGCTCTAGAATAATCATGGAGTGGCCTCCTGAACCGGGACAGGCCTGTGGATTTCGCCGGTGCTAGTTGGTAGGTACGTGGCCAAAGTCGCTGCAGTACGCGTGATTGGCTCTAGTACGTTGCTGCAGCTGGCACTGGCAGCTGCACACATGCATGACACGTTCAATTCGAGCTCCTGGAACGAATACTCCGCAGGCTGCAGCACACGGCCCAAGTGAATGGCGAGGCGTAAGAGGCCTGCTAACTGAGACATCGATGACGCATTATTGGGTTACTTGTCTTTTTTGGCCTGCTAACTGGATGAGTCTAGCTGGCTGGACGCCTGGACTCTCTCTATTACATCGACGGACTAGACACTTAGAGGCAAGACGATCCTCCTATACAAGTATCAATCATGCAGAAGAAGAAGAGACGTTCAAGCAAGCACCAGTCCTCTCCCACTTCCTTCTCCAGCACAGCAGAGGTCAGGTGATGGCGTCGTCCGCCACCACCCTCCTCCTCCGGCTGCTCTGCCTCTGCACCGTCTTGCCAGTCGCCATGCAGGCGGCGCGCCCGACCAACATCACCATCGGCGCCCTCTTCGCCTTCAACTCCGTCATCGGAAGGTCCGCCAGGACCACCATCCAGCTCGCCGTCGACGACGTCAACCGCGACCCCACGGTGCTGAGCGGCACCAACCTCAGCGTCGTCTTACAGGACACCAACTGCAGCGGATTCGCAGGCATAATCCAAGGTAGGAGTAGACTACTCTCTCAATCTCTCTCTCTCTCTCTCTCCCTCTGTCTGCACTGCACAGTCTGCGCTGCACTGCATTCCATTTGTCTCGACTTTCAGCAAGTTCGTTTCGGCTTATTTGCTCGTATCTGGCTTATAATCAACGGCTTTAATAATATTTTTCTCTCGCACCAAACCAGCCAGCAGTACTTTCAGCTATGGATTATAAGTCGGTTCAGCCGAAACGAACAGGTTGTTTGTTTTCTGCACAAGAGCATGGACATTGATTGCATCAAGATGTGAACCCCCTTCCTCAGTCCTTTATTTCTTTTGTAAGTATATATCCTTTTTTTTCCTTATCAAGATATGCATAGAGCCACCGTGTCAAACTGCATGGGACTCATGCATTGCACATTCCACGCCATCACATTCAGAGTTTCACCAAACATAGAGAGAGAGAGAGAGAGAGAGAGAGAGAGTACTGAATTAATTTCCAGAGTTTTCTGGAATCAAACATTTTTTAAGTTTGATCAAATGTGTACAAAAGAAATCATTTGGATACATCATAAAATATATTTTCATAATATACATGCTCATGCTCATCTGGTGTGACAAATATTTATGCTCTTTTTTTATAAATCTAATCAAATATAAAAAAAAGTTTGTCGTAATTAACATCATCGCTAGATGCGAGTCCTAACTCGTATATTAGCGGAGCCAGAAACTCTTAGAAGCCTGGGCAATCTTCACTATGCAAAAAGAATTTAGCTAGTAAATTAGAGTCCTCTTCTTTGGTATAAAGGAAATTTTCTATTAAAAATCGCGGACGAGCCCGGCTGGGCGCCTGGGTGGCCGAGCGATGGCTCCACCACTGAACTCGTATGTGTATGAGACATGGGCCCAGGTCACATATAAGATATGAAGAAAACTCTCTATTTTTCGGATAGTTGTGTGTGTGGGGGGGGGGGGAGGGGGGAAAAAAAAAAAGTGGAGAGAAATTTTGCCATCTTAATAATATAAATTATTATTATAATATATATACATTATATTTATATTAGCTATAGATAGATATAAATATAGATATAGATAGATCGATCTAGTCCACATGCATTTAGAAAAAAAAATCAAAACGTCTTATAATTTGAAATGAGGGGGAGTCCTATACTAGCTGAATCAACCGAGTTTAATTTTATAATAACAATTGTGCGCGTGTCATCAGTTAAACTAATCACCAGATGAGGCAGGCAGCAGCCTATCCAAATCCAATCCATTAGTCAATGAGCGCGTCATATGTTTCTACTGCTCTGCTGCACAGTCAACTACGCCCATGGATGGGATGCCACTGTCCACTGATGAGTGATGACTGATCTGAATGAACCTGAACCCTGCAGCCGGCCTGGAGCTGATGGAGAAGGAGGTGGTGGCCGTGGTGGGCCCCCAGTCCTCGGTCATTGCACACGTCGTCACCCACGTCGCCAACGAGCTGCGCGTGCCGCTGGTGTCCTTCGCAGCCACAGACCCGGCGCTCGCCTCCACGCAGTACCCCTACGGCCCTACTTCGTCCGCGCCGTGCACGACGACCATCGCCGACATCGTGTCGCTCTACGGATGGAGGGAGGTCACCGCCGTCTACGTCGACGACGACTACGGCCGCGGAGGCGTCGTCGCGCTCGCCGACGCGCTGGAGGCCACGCGCGCCAGGTTGTCGTGCAAGGCCGCGTTCCCGCTGGGCGCCGACCGCGCCACGCTCACCGACCTCCTGCTGCGCGCCAACTCGATGGAGTCTCGCGTCTTCGTCGTCCACGCCAGCCCGGACTCAGGCCTCGACGTCTTCGCCGCCGCGCATGACCTCGGCATGATGGTCGCAGAGTACGCCTGGATCGCGACGGACTGGCTCGCCGCCGCCGCCATCGATGGTGCGGGTGCCGCCTCCGAGTCTAATAATATACAGGGCGTCCTCACGCTGCGCCAGTACACGCCGGACTCGGACGCCAAGGCGTCGCTCGTCTCTAGGCTCGCCGGCGCCGAACCACCTAGCAACAATAATGCCGCCGCCGCCGTCAACACGCGTACGGCCTCTTCGCCTACGACTCCGTCTGGATTGCGGCGCACGCTATCGACCAGTTCCTCGACGAAGCCGGCGGCAACGTCACCTTCTCCGCCGACCCCAACATCCGCGACGCCAACGGCAGCGCGCTGGGACTCAGCGCGCTAAGGGTGTTCGACCAGGGCGAGCAGCTGCTCCAGAAGATCATGCTCGCCAACTTCACCGGCGACACGGGCCGCGTGGGGTTCCAGTTCGACGCCGATGGGAATGGTACTGGGAGTAGGACCCTCATCAACCCGGCCTACGAGATCCTCAACGTCGGCGGTAATACGAGCGTCCGCCGGGTCGCCTACTGGTCCAACTACACGCGCCTGTCGGTGGACGCGCCCACGCTGCTCGACGACGGCGGGCCGCCGCCCAACAGCACCAGCACGACACCCCAGCAACAGCAGAAGGATCATCAGCAGCAGATGTCCAGCGTCACCTGGCCCGGCGGCACCACGGACACGCCGCGCGGGTGGGTGTTCGCCGACAATGGCCAGCCGCTGAGGATCGGCGTGCCGTACCGGACGTCGTACAAGGAGTTCGTGTCCAGGGACGACACGAGCAAAGACGGCGTGAGCGGCTACTGCATCGACGTGTTCAAGGCGGCGTTGCAGCAGCTCCCGTACCCGGTGCCGGTGTCGTTCGTCCTGTTCAGCGACGGCGAGACGAGCCCCAGCTACGACGAGCTGGTGCAGAATGTGGCGGACGGCTTCTTCGACGCCGCGGTGGGCGACATCTCGATCGTGACGAACCGGACGCGGGTGGTGGACTTCATGCAGCCGTACATCGACTCCGGGCTAGTGGTCGTGTCCACGGTGAAGGCCAGGAGCTCCGACGAGTGGGCCTTCCTCAAGCCCTTCACGCCGGAGTTGTGGGGCACCTTTGTCGGTTTCTGCATCTTCATCGGCGCCGTGGTGTGGATCCTGGAGCACCGGCACAACGAGGAGTTCCGGGGGTCACCGTGGAACCAGATGAGCACCATGTTCTGGTTCAGCTTCGCCGCAGTGTTCTTCTCGCAAAGTGAGTCGTGAGTAGAGCCGGCCGGTGAATCAATCCAATGTGTCGATCGATTGAGCAATCAGCATCTTAATTTCAGGTGAATCTGAAATCCTAATGAAAAGTGAAATGCATGCAGGAGAGGAGACTGTTAGCAGTCTTGGTCGCTTCGTCGTCATCATGTGGCTCTTGGTGGTTCTCATCATCACCCAGAGGTACACAGCCAGCCTGACGTCCATCGTGACGGTGCAGCAGCTGTCGACGGGCATCCAAGGCATCAGCGACCTCCTCGCCGGCAACGACCCCATCGGCTACCAGGAAGGCGCCTTCACCGGGAGCTACATGATCAAGGAGCTGGGCGTCAAGGCGTCGCGCCTCCGGGAGCTGCCCATCGACGAGTACGCCGACAGCCTGCAGCGCGGACCCAGCAACGGTGGCGTGGCGGCCATCGTCGACGAGCTGCCCTACGTGGAGCTCTTCCTCTCCTTCAACTGCCCTGCCAGTTTAGGATGCACCAGCAGAGAACAAACCTTTCATCCGAGGTCAAAATGGACTTAGTCCCGGCATTTTTTACGTCCGGGACTATAGAGACCTTTAGTCCCGGTTGGTGTCTCCAACCGGGACTAAAGGTCCCCTGCCACTATGCTGAGCGCAGTAGCCGTTGGGCAGGGACCTTTAGTCCCGGTTGGCCGTTGGGCAGAGACCTTTAGTCTCGGTTGGAGACATCAACCGGGACTAAAGGTGGACTTTTACTTCTGGTTAGAGCCACCAACCGGGACTAAAAGTCCTCCAACCTTTAGTCCCGGTTGGTAACATCAACCCGGACTAAAGGACCTTTAGTCCCGGTATAATACCAACCGGGACTAAAGGTCTCCTGATGGGTTAGTTCAATAGGGAAGCATCCCATCCATTGTTAGATGTGTTGTGTAGATGGGATGTTAAGCTACGCGCGAGGCAATGCATGAGGTCTTGGATTCGAATCTCACGGAACATAGCGGTAGGAGGCATTATTTTTTTTAAAGGTGTGAAGAACCTTTAATACCGGTTGGTGTAAAACCTGTCTCCGTATTAGCGACGGTGGACCAGGAATTCACCAAGGGCGGATGGGGATTCGTAAGTTTTTCTTTCTTTCTTTCTTTCTTCCACCAAATTAACCAACGGCGACGACGATCTGTGGAAACACAATAGGCGTTCCCGCACGACTCTCCCCTGGCTGTGGACCTGTCGACGGCCATCCTGAAGCTGTCGGAGAGCGGCGACCTGCAGCGGATCCACGATAATTGGCTCAACACGGGGACGTGCGACTCCACCGACGGCGTGGGCGGCCCTGTAAGGCTCAGCGTGGCCAACTTCAGGGGCCTCTTCCTTATCTGCGGCGTCGCCCTGCTCGTCTACTTCGCCAGGATACTTTTCCACTTCTGCCAGTACCACCGCCACGGGACCAGCGACGGCGCCAAAGAGGACGACGGCGGCGGCGGCCCGTTCCCTGACAAGGAGAAGAGCCTGAGCCGGCTCGCCAGGCAGAAGACCAGCATTCCGGACTTCATGTTCTTCGTGGACATGAAGGAGTCCGAGGTCAAGAGGGCCATCCGGAGCAGCTCCAGCAAGTCCATTGGCCGGTCCCGCAGCGACACCTCTGATGGGCCGTCCTCACCGGAGCCGGTGTAACGTACATACAAGAGCTTATATACGGATTATATACGATTCTCTAACACCTGTCAAAAATGTTGTCAAACAGTGAAATATCTTTATACTCCATCCGTCCTAAAATATAGTGCATTCTGGCTATTTTAAGACTAAGAAAAGAAAGAGTACAGTAGATGCATGTACCTCTTACTTACCTTCCTAATATATTGAAATATGATTCTATTCCGCATGATTAAAGGGTGAACTTTTAGTCTCCTTATATAAAATATGGCAAGTACATGAGTTACTTTTCTTATACAAAATAATCACATATTTTTATTTAAGTAAACATTATCTTCTTGCTTCCCAAATGCACTATATTTGAGGATAAATTTTAAATGCCAGAATGCACTATATTTTAGGATGGAGAAAGTAGAAAGGAGGGCAAAAGCTTTGCGCGATTTCTATTAGATGAAGAAAGGAAAAAAAGACAAGTGCCCGCCCAGTTTTTTTTGAATGAAAATTAGGCTAAAAAACTATACAACTGAGGAGAGTGTTCCACTCATCTACACCACATTGGTACCACAACCGGACAACTATCACCACTTATGCCACTACTTGCTGCAACTAAAACAACTCAACTAACAACTAACAAGGACGGAAGAGACACGACGACGACTAGCCGTGCGACACCAAACAACAAAGCTTGGGGCACCCATGGCCAGACGAAAGGAGCAACTGCGGAACTAGAAAGCCTAGCCATGTCTCCTAGGAGAAAATTAACGATGCTAAAAACACCAATAAGGTAGCCCACCAACATCCAGTATGGTAGGAGGAGCGAGGAAAGGACGCCTGCAAGAAGGGAATGACGTTCGTAGACGTCGTCGTTCAAGCTTTCGCCCCGATCTCAAGCAATCTCCATCACCGTCGTCGCCGAAGACCAAACCCTACCAAGAGGGTAGGGTGAGGTGATGGATCAACAGCAGCTCCGCCCGTCCACCACCCTAGAGACGTCGGCCGGGAGAAGCGCATGGAGAAGCCCACCGAAGAGTCCATCCCCCGCCAGAACCGGCAGCCGGCCAGCGGCAACAAGCAGATCCGGCCAACGGCAACAAGTAGATCCACCCAGCTCCACCGTGAAAGCCACAACTCGAGGAAGGGGGAATCCAGGTGGCGGGGAGAAGAGGGCCGGGATCAGAAGAAGCCCTAGTCGCCCACCAACGTCCCAAATCCCTGCTGAGCTGGCCCCAAGCCGCCCACTCTGCCATGCCGCGTAGCCGCTGTCGTTGTCGTCGAACTGGGAGAGCCTGGCGTGGCCCGCTCGACCGACGCCCACCTCGCCACCATGGCACGACAGACGCGAAAACGAGTGGGTCGCTGCCGTCCACGCCACTACAGCGCCGATGCCGCACAGCAAGCACAACCGCTTACATCACCACAACGTCTAACGGTGTCTGGCCACACTACCACGCCACCAATCCGCATCGACGCAGCCAAGCCAACTGCCTGCCATCACTGACGCCGTTCGCTAGCCGATCGTCGGCGCCACAGGCAGCGGCGAGGGGGAAGGGAGGGGAAAGAGGGCTGGCGGCGGGGCTAGGGTGGCCGCCGTGCGAGTGGCCTGTGCGGGGGCAACGGCAACGCGTGGGGGAGGCGAATGTGTCTCGTGCCAACGTAAAACAGTGAAATATCAATGTAGGTGAATCTCGATATGCGTAATAACTGCTGAAAGGCAGACAAAATGTATGGAGATGTGTAAGACTGTCTCCAACCGGCAACGCATCACGCGACCTATACCCAAAATGCCTCTTCCGCGTGAAAGAAACGACCTCCAACAGAATACCAAAACACCCCACCCATTTTGCATACGACGCTCGCCGAAACGCAAAACTGCGTCGTCGAGAGAGGCCCGGCGCGCGGAGATGCAAAACTGTGGCGAACGAGCAGCCGGCCGGGGAGGGGACGGAGGAGCCGCCGCCGCTGGGAAGAAGCGTCGCTGCTGCTGGGAAGACACGGCGGAGGAGAATCCGCCCGCGCTGGGAGACGCGCCCGACTCCGGTCGAGATCCGCCCGCGCTAGGAGCCATGGCGGAGGAGCCCGCGCTGGGAGTCGCGGCGGCGAGATCCACCACGTCCTCGCCGGAGAAGGCTGTCGCGTCCTCGCCGGAGAAGGCCGCCGCTTCCTCACGGGAGCCGGCTTCAGGGATGGCGCCGCCGCGGAGATCTGGGGCTTCGGGGATGGCGCCGCCGCAGAGGCCCGTGCTCGCTGGAGAGTCCCGCCGCGCTGGGGACCTCTGCCAGCGTCGGGGAGCCACGGCGGAGGGGGGCCGGAGGTGACGAAGACCGGCGGAGAGGCAGCGCCTAGGACCGCGCGGGGGAGAGAGGGACGGGTTTTGGGTACGCTGTTGGAGGATATGAGTTTTAGGTCCGGGGTCCTTCTACTGTGCGTGACCCATAGTATAGAATGGGTCTCTTATTTGGGTACACGCCGTTGGAGATAGCCTAATGACCATGTGGGGGCGATTAACGGGAGAATCCGATGGGTAGTGTTGCCTACCCACCGGCTCTATAAATAGGAGGCAGTTGTCTCCTTTGTAACATACGACAATTACCCGAAGTGAAATAATAAAGAGCTTCCGTCCCACTCTATATCTGTGTGTTCTATATTTTGTGCTTCTGTGTGTGCATTACAAGAACCGATTTCTGAACAGAAGATGGTATTTGTTGGTGCTGCAGTAGTATGCAACGTAGTGGGATTACAGGCGTACTACATTTGGTGGGCCGTGGGCCGCACTCAAACATGAGGCATTTTAGTTTGGCCTGGTTCAACATTTGGGCGTCGACACATTTATTTATGTAGATTTTTTAAATAGTTCTCATACAAATTGAAAAACTTGTGTTCTAGCACTATAGAGAATATATGATTTAAATTGTTGTACTTGATAGTCGATTTTATTGTCAAAATTGCACGGTTGCCATTAGAATAAATTAAGTATCTACTGCAAAGTTATATGAGATATTAGAACCAATGTTAGCATAGGATTAACATTGTTAAAACTGTGCCCTGTTGCAATGCATGTATCTTGACAACATTGGATACCCATCAGTATATATATCGTGCCCATTCGGGCCGCCTGGTCTGGCCCAGCCCGAGCCCATGCTAGGCACGGCCCGCTGTGGCACCAGACTAGGCACGGCACGAGGCCGGGCCGCCGGGCAATGCCAAACTATGCTTCATGCCTGGTCAATGGCCCAGGCACGGCTTGTCGGGGCCTTTTTCATAGCCCGAAAAGCACGCCATAGCCAACGGGCCAGACCCACCCGACGCCCACAGAGAGAGAGGGAAGGAGAGCAGAGAGGAGGCAGCACCCGGGAGGTGTGGGCGGGCCGCGGCACCCCCGCCCGAGGCGGATCACCACACAGCAGTGATCACGCACCAGCAGCAGCAGGAGGAGTCAGGGGTAGCCGCGGGAGGTGGCGTCGTCCGCCAACGCGTGCACTCACCCTCGAGGCGGATCTGGCTGCAATCGGCGGCCGCGCACCCGAGGGCGGCAGGAGGAGGGCAGGGGTAGCCGCGGGAAGTGGCGGCGGCGCCCGGTGCGCTCGCCCCAGAGGCAGGTTCGGCCATAGGCGGCGGCCACACACCCGGTGAGGGAATGAGGAGGGCAGCACGAGCATCTTCGTCTGGGGAGCGAGTGTGAGGGAGGGGCCGAGGAGAGTGGCGCGGACATCTAATATATGCAAGCAAAATGGAGATGTATGTACATGGTCTTTTTGGTTGCTTGCCCAGGCCTAGGCAGACCATCGATTTTGACTGTCCGATGGCCAGGATCTATGGCCTAGCAGGCATTTGCGTCACAGAAGTACATATATGTGCTCGATTCTCGTGTAATATTATACGAGCGTGTTGGGCAAGAATCAAACAAAAAGATACAAATACTCCCTCCATGCTAAAAAATGAAGTTATTTTTTACTAGGCTTAGGTCAAACATTAGAAATATAAATCATGGATAACTTTTAAATTGTTGAGTTTGGAAATGTGAAAACCATATGTATAGATTTATCTTAAAAAATACTTTCACAAAAATTTACATATATCACTTTTTAATAAATATCTTTATAAAAATAAGTAGTCAAAGTTATGCTTTGGAGACCGTGTCACTGTCTAAAACGATTTTATTTTTATTACGGAGGAAGTATATGAGTATATAACCAAACCAATCAATCAGTGAATGAATTAATGGCTACTCATCATTATCCAAAAAAGTATCAGTGAGTGGCTAGGGCCTTGTTTAGATTATAAATTTTTGTAACTTGGATACTGTAGCACGTTTTGTTTGTATTTGACAAACTTTATCTGATCATGGACTAACTAGGCTCAAAAGATCCATCTCGTGATTTACAACCAAACTGTGTAGTTATTTTTTTTACCTACATTTAATGCTCCATGCATACGTCCAAAAATTAATAAGATGAAAAGAGAGTGAAAAAACTTGGAATTTAGAGGTGATCTAAACAAGGCCTGGCTAGCCAGTTTAGCGCCGCACGAATGCATGTACTCTTGTCTCGATATATGTATTTTATAATATACCACTAGACTAGACTAGGCAGACGCCGCACTGACGCGTACGTGCAACATAACAAATCTTGAAGAACTCATTTTTTTTTTTGTGAGGAATGATGAACTCATTGTTATTGTAACTTGCAGGCACGCTAGAATGATATGTTTATGTATCTGCGCACGCACGCATGGAAATGGAAAGGAAGACGACGATCTTGCTTTCACCCTGTTTGGAAGATCTGTATAATTTCTCACATGTAAAGAGCTTACACCTGTATTTATCTGTGCACAAGAAAACCATTTGAAAATTTTACCCTGGTAAAACGTTGTTTGGATAATAATCATGTAGCCGTGCGGGCCCACGACACGTCCTCGACGATCTGACCGTGCGGGCCGGCGATCGATATATCGAGAGGTCCCTGATGGCGGCGCGGGGCACCGCCGCGGATATGGACGGGACTAGGAAGGTGGCCGAGATGGAG